CTCAAACTGCTTCCAAAATCCCCAAAACCGTTGCCAAAAAGAATCCCTCCAAGGGATCATCTTCTTTACAGTCCACTGAACCCTTCCTTAGGGACACAATGCATCTGTTCTCTCTCAACCCAATGGATTTCGATGAGCCTATTCGTGTTATGATTGAGTTAATTGCTCATCATCCAATCACAGTGCCGCTTACCAAGATCCCAAAACCACCGATCCCTCTTCGACTTCTTCACACCGCTTTTGAACGTTTCAAGAATGTCATTGTATCAAGATCGTCAATGACATTCTTGAAACAAAGATTACAAGTGATTGAATTGTTCCCGTCCACAAGTCTACAATTCTCAAGGTGATAAGTATTGGATATCCTTATCTTGAATTCATAATTGGTTTATTTTTAAATTAATATTAATTTCTTAATTTTCGAAATTTAAAATAAAAGCCCTAGTATTTTGAAAAAGTTTAAGATACACCCTAATAATATATGTAACATTAAAAGTTTAATATTACTATATGTATAAGACTAAGTCAGACGAACCGGTAGTACGCATCATTTACAAAGCGGATTTGTAGGGGGTATAAGGAAATTGCCTATAAAATGGCGATTGAATGAGTTTCCACTCTCACTCACCGTTTCCTTGATTGGTGGAGGGTCGTTAGCTGAACGGGTTGGATAGGACAATCAATTCTTATTAATAAGTATAATGTGATTAAAAAGTAACTAAACTATTTTCTTTAAATCCCAATCTGAGTTACTTTAGGAAAATGTGAATTTTTATGCTAACCCATAAAATTGCACATTGCACTATATAATTCATTAATGGAGAGTGTGTGGTTAACCGACACACTATTAGGGACTAATAAAAAGTGGCAATGGGTGTCTTGAAAATTATCATTGATTAATGGAGCGCGTGTAGTTAACCGACACATTAAAATGAGATAATAAAAAGACATCGAGAGTACCATGCTAATTTTCATGGTTATTCACATCTTGTTTGTGATTCTCGGTATCCCAATCATAAATGGAAGAGCATAATCGAGATTAAACTTGCCATTTAAGAGTTTCAATGAATCTCAAAAGACCTAGGAATTCACTTAAAACCTAATTCATTCAAATTTTGTTTTCTCATGGTGAAATTGGTAAATCGTCATTACCTACCTTTATATAATTTACAATTAGACTACGACATCCCTTTTCTAAGTTGTGAATTATTTTGTTGGATCCTAGCCTTGATATTTCATTTTGGGTGTTATATTGATGGTTGTTCTTATCTAACTAAAACTATCTTTCTTTTATAAATGTCTACTCCAAACGATGCTTTTGGTTCCTCCTCCAACAACAACAACAACTTCTACTTGTTGAACATCTGCTAAAAGGTGGAATTAGATGGCACCAATTATAATGATTGGATGTGTAACATAAAAATGGCCCTTCGTTTCAAGGACAATGTGTATGTCCTTAAAAAACCACTAGAATAAATAGACAAAGCGAAAGTCACTCCTGAAGAGCTTGCTTGATTGAAGAAACACTACCATGATGCAACAAAAGTTGCTTACATCAAGGTGGCCATAATGACTCCAAAATTGCAAAGACACCATGAAGATTACCAGTTGTACGAGATGAACAAGGATCTTATGGAAAAGTACCATAAGCGATGTCGTCAAGGAAAGTACGAGGTGGTAAAGTCCCTCGTTTCTAGCAAGATGAAGGAGGGCGAGTCTGTTAGTAGCCACGTTCAGAGAATGCAACGATACGTGGACAGTCTCATATTGACCTAGTTGTTATGTTCAGTTCATATTGACCTATCATTTGAACAACAATGAAACTACTTTTTTCTCAATTGCATAACCTCCTACGAACAACTGAAGCATGAATGAAGGGAAAAGGTATTACCTCCACTCTTGCTAGTACTCCTGTTCTATCCATAGGTCAAGGGAAAGGGAAAAAGAAGAAAAGTCCTCCCAAGCAAACCTAGAAGGGAAAGTCCCAAGCTGGCTCATCAAGTATAGGACCCAAAGGAAAATCCAAATCTGATGCTCCTCCTGTTTCTGACCCAAAAGAGTCCACTTGCTTCTACTATAATGACAAGGGGCATTGGAAACCAAGTTGCCCGAAATATATCAAGGATGGCAAGGTGAAGCCAACCTCGGTAGGTATTTACATTATCGTGTCTAATAACTCATCATATTCTCATTCTTGGGTCCTTGATACAGGATGTGGATTTCACATTTTTTCTGACTTGCAGGGGCTAACAAGAAGTGAGGATGTGGAGCATGGAAGGATGAACTTGATCATGGGGAATAGGTGATCTTCACTTGTCACCAATATTGGAGTTTATGTCTCAGTACTTAGTAGTGGGTTAGGGTTAGATTTAATAAATTGTTGCTACTCTTCAGAGATGACATGAAACATTATTTCATTTCATACATCATTTAAACAAGGTTTTAGATATTCTTTTGACGATGAGAATGGTTCTATTTTTGCTTATAAAAATGGTATTTTTTTTTTATTTTGAAGCTTTACCTTGTGATGGTGTGTATGAAACTGTGATGAATGTAGACAATTTATGTAATAGTGTTTTTCAAATTGATTCGTCTAATGGTATAGATAAAGCGTGCTTGTGGCATTGTCATCTTGGACACGTAAACAAGAAACGCATTGCCCAACTCCAAAAGGATGGAGTGTTGGAATCATTTGACTTAAGGTCAGATGAGACATACAAATCTTGTCTATTGGGTAAGATGAAAAAATCACCTTTCATTGGTTCATCTGAAAGAGGTGAAGGATTGTTGGATCTCATACACACATGTGTGTGTGGGCCCTTCAGATCTACCACAAAGGATGCAAATCGATTCTATGTGAATTTTACTGATGATTATAAAAGATATGGCTATATCTACCTAATCAATCATAAGTCAGAAACCTTTGAAAAGTTCGAAGAGTTTAAAAAAGAAGTCGAGAATCAATTAGGTAGGAAGATAAAGATGCTTAGATCTGATATAGGCGATGAGTATCTTAGTATCAAGTTCGACGACTACCTCAAGGAATGTGGAATTGTTTCACTATTAGATCAATAAAGAGTAGATCGATAGATTTCAAACAGGTAATTGAATTATAAACAAGAACACAATGATCAAAGTTATGTCGAATGATTAATAATCTCTGCCTTAGAAGAATGCGATGAAGAATTGCTACTATAAAGGCAAAGTAGGGTTACAAGAGAATCGACAGTAGATATTTTGCATGCATGCACTATTTATAGCTAAACCCTAATCATTAAAGACACTGGGTGGAGAGGCCCAACCTGTTACATAAAATGGACTATACTAAATAAATACCATTGATGCAATCCATAAGACCCAACAATCCCCCCCCCTTTGTGTCAATTGAAGAAGGAGAATCTTCACAGTAGAATTCGTTTTTGTGTCTTGAAGAGCTTGGGTATGATGCTGAGTAATGAACTGCGAACAACAATGCACCATCGTATCATATCTGAGCAGCACTTCTTCGCAGCTGTATGATTCGCCTTGCATTGCTCCGTGAAATCCAAAACATAGTTCAAGCAGGAAGTGGAGAACAGGCGTTTATCAGGCAAAGCGAATAGACATTTATGGATATCACCTTTTTCCTTTGATCCTCATTGAAACATCATGCTCCATTTTTCCTTTTCAATTTTTCCCATCTTCATCTTCTCAATGTCTTTCGCAGAAGCTTCGAGAAGGACTGTTGGTTTCTTTTGCAACATAGTGGTAATTTCAACATCCATCTTCGCCACTTCATGGATGTACAAAACCGACATCCTCTTGATGTAAGCAACAATTGGTTCATACTTCTTTTCTTCCTTCATCAAAAGGTGTAACAGCGTAGTCCAATCACAGGGATTTAAACATGGCAAATCAGTAAGAAGGAACTCAAACACTGAACTCTCCAAAACTCGAGCAGTCTTGAACTTGGCATTGACAAAGCTGTCAGTTTGAATAGGCCCAATCAGTTTTATAGCTGTTATTTTCATTGCAATCCAAGTGAGGTGTTGAGGCTGGCCATGCTTCAGGTAGAATGCCATCAAGGACTTATTCATATTCTCATCCGAATTTGGTATGTTCGTCATTACATCAAAACTATGAAACAAAAGGCTTTTGAAGTGATAAGGAAATCCAGTTGCAAATCTAGTGTATCGAATGAGGTGACCGGTTCTAACCAGTGAATGCTTGGGTTTTCAATTGCTTCGGTTAGAATTCTCTCCATGGACCAAAGAGGAAATAACAACTTTTTAGCTTCTAGATCAGTCTGAGCATCACAAAGTGCTTTCTCTTTTTTCTTCTGCTTCTCTAATGATGCGATTGTATTCATCAATCTGAGCTTCATGAGCCTTCCTTCATTTCAGCTCATGCTCATCCTCTTCACTCTTATCAATGATGTTTTATTTACATCCAGAACCCGAAGCTACATTAACCTTCGGTTCAACTTTTGACTATGGATTTTCATTAGTATCGATTGGTTTCGGGTTTTTTTTCATAGATTGCTTCACAGTTTCTCCCCCTTGTTTCGAAAGTGTGCCAGACTTCGAAACACCTTCAATCCTATTGAGCATCACGAATACATGCGTAAGTTTTTCAGCCATACGCTTCCTGACAGTGATCATGATTAGAGAATCACGAATCTCAATGATATCGGAGAGTAAGGCATTCACATCAGCAATGAAACTTTTCATCACAACTTTTTTGGATAAGAGCATGTTAATTTGATTTTCAACATGTGCCAGCTTGACAGACAGTACCTTCACCTTTTATATTTTGACATCGAGCTTATCCATGATTTTGTTCTTAATGACCAAATCTTCATGAAGCTTGTCTATCTTGGAAGAGATGGAGGTGTGAAACTTTGTATTGTCACTTTTAGTGCCAGTGCGAACATTCTCCGGAGCATCCTTCTTAGTCCGAAGGGTAGATCCTAGACTGGTTATGATTGCATTCGCCTTTGCAGTGTTTTTTTCAAAAGAAGTCTATAAAGTACTCATAAAAGATCGAACATCGAAAATTAGTTTATCCACTTTTTCTGTTGTTTCCTTGCAAACAGATGCAGAGTCATCAACTGCCTTGTTTGTTTTGTCCAGGTTTGCAATGTGCTCTTTCGTTAAGGTTTCAAGGAAAGCTTTAATCGCTTCCCCATAATAGTCATTGCTAAAGGATGCTTTGGTAGACAGAAGCAAGGTTTCCAAATTCTCATTGATGGCTTCGAGTTGCCATTTTGTAACAAGAACATCTTCATCATTATCTTCTTGAACTGTGAAAGGTCTATAAACAAAGGCTTCAAAATCAACAACCAAGGATATCAAATCTTCTTTACTTGTTATCAAGCCTTCATTAGTAGATTTTTGTATTTCAAACTCGATCTCAATTCCTCCAAGAATCAGCCTTCGACTTCAAAATCAACATCAAAATTTCTTCAACTGTTTGTTAACATTCAACAACTATCGATTCCAGCTTTCGCTTTTCAAAAATCACGTTTTTGTTACTCAATCAACAATCCAAATTAATCCAAACCTTACAAATCATCGTCTGCATATCATCTCGTTCCCAAAATTTGTTCTTCCCTTGGAACGATATCCATCACCTCTTCGTTTGCTTCAAACATCGACTGTCAGTTTCAAATCCAAATCGAAACTTTAATCGATTAGGCCAAATCACATAGTCAACCAATGATTTTGACTTTTAACAAAATTTCGATTTCAAATCACCATTAACCTGTTTCGTTATCAAAATTAACTTCTAGACATCACAATCAACTGTATCCCAAATCAAATTAGAGTCCTAAATCGCTTCAACAAAAAGCATCTTGTTCTTAAATTTCGTTCATCCTGTTCGATTCCAGATAACCCAGAACATCGAACTTTGAAAGAATCTATACAAGTGTGTATACAATTTTAATGTGTGTGTTTCATTAATCACAATGTTGGTACTTATACATTAGAGATCCGTTTGGATCAGATTACAGATAATCCTATCAAATTACAAAACAGACTAGAGATAAGCATTACATTCAAATATATAAAAACTATATAAGAAGATAACATGATATACTTCAACATCCCCCCTCAAGTTGGAGCATGGGGATCAATAATGCCCAACTTGTCCACCAATTTGTCAAACTGAGTTTTGATAAGTGCCTTGGTTAGAATATCTGCCAGTTGCTCGGATGTGTGAACATATGATGGAGCCACTAGACCTTCAACAATAGCATCACACACAAAGTGACAATCCACTTCTACATGTTTAGTTCGTTCGTGGAACACGAGATTATCTGCTAAATGTAGAGCTGCCTGATTATCAGAATATAGATTAATTGCTTGAGGGTGTTTGACTCCTAGACTAAGAAGTAAAATCTTCAGCCATTTAAATTCACATGTGATAGCTGCCATGGACCGGTATTCTGCCTCGGTAGAAGAGCGGGAAATGGTGTGTTGTTTCTTGGTTTTCCAGGCAATTGGAGAATGTCCGAGATAAACAATCCACCCTGTGAGAGATCGTCTAGTAATGGGGCATGCCGCCCAATTCGAGTCACACCATCCTTGTAGAGAAAGAGTACTGTTAGAACGCAGTAGAATACCATGTCCAGGAGTACCCATAAGGTATTTGACCACGCGCAATGCTGCATCCCAATGCTCAATGTGTGGGGCCTACATGAATTGAGATAAAATATGCACCGAATAGCCCAGATTTGGACGTGTGACAGCAAGATAAATCAGTCGAACAACTAGATGAAGATAAGCTTTAGGATTTTTTTTAATAGTGCACCATGAGCCCGACCAAGTTTATGATTTTGTTCAATGGGAAAACTCGCAGGTTTTTCCCCCAAAAGACCTGTTTCATTGACAATGTCAAGAGTGTATTTACGATGACACAAAAACAGACCTTGGGGACTTCTAGCCACTTCTATGCCGAGAAAGTACTTAAGGGGGCCCAGATCTTTCATCTTAACACAATTGCTGAGATAGCCTTTAAATGTTTTGATAGCAACAGAGTTGTTACCCGAAATTATAAGATCATCCACATAAACGAGGACATTAATTTGAGTGTCACCACGAGTAAGTGTAAACAAAGAATGGTCAGAGTAAGACTGATTAAAACCATATGCTTTGAGAGATTTGATGAGCTTCGCAAACCAACAACGAGGAACTTGTCTTAAACCATAAAGAGATTTTTGTAATCAACATACCATGTTTTTGTTAGAACTTTGAAAACCTGGTGGAAGACGCATATAATCTTCTTTAGTAAGGTCTTCGTGGAGAAAGGCGTTATGAGAATCCATTTGATGAAGTTCCCATTTCTTGGATGTTGCCACGTGTCACATCCCCGAACCAGACGGCAGAAACGTCCGAGGGCTCGCATGACTTTAATTGAATATCATCACAATGAATATACATGAATCATAACATAAACATCACCATGCATCAATATATTACAACTGGAATTGTTCACATCTAGTACATTGTTTTAACATTTCACATTCATAACATAAATTGTTTGAGTGCTTTTAACAACATTACATCCTAAGATTACTTCATATTACTCTTCCGCTTACCTGTTACCTGAGAATACAAGTTATTTTGGAAAAACGTCAACATATGAAATGTTGGTGAGTTCATAAGCAATGTTGTGTTAAAATGATTTGTGTAGTTTGTAAAACCCAGAAAATCCGATATTTTCTTAAAAGACATTTGTTTAGTGTGAAGATCCATAGTTGATGCATGAATGATTTCAAAACATATATATGAAGGGTGTTTTGTATTATAGTTATAGAAATTTCAAGCGAGTAGTATTGATTTCCCCGGAAAACCCGACGTTTTCCGATGCCGAAAGGTATACGTAGTTATTAGTTCTTGTATCGTCGTATCGAATGGATATTGTCCTAATTCCGTCTACTTTGAATAATAGTATGCCTTAGCGAATGAAGAGAAGAGGAGCACTATGTCCTACTACTATCGTAAGTACCTTAGGCTGTCGTGGATGCGAAAGACACGATGGTCCAACTCGCATTTGATTACTGTGACCTTAATAGCTTTTCTAATGGGACACTTTGGCCCACTAGCACATAAAAGCTATTGAAAGTCCTTTTATAAAATATTGGGTCATTGAAGGCCCAATAACATATAAGCGTTATCCCTTTGGGCCCAAAGATCATGTTGGAGGGCTTGCAAGGCCAACCAGCATGATTTGAAACTCATAAGCCCAAAGTTTTTAAGTTTACACATCGAAGGTATCGCGTATCGTTTGGAGAGTTTGATTTTAACGTTAGTTATATTGTATCGATTCGAGACCGAATCGATTCGTGTATCACGAAATTTGGAGTCAAACGTGTATTCGTCTTTTGATTTGTCGGTAGTCGTAGTTTTGTATTTTGACCTAATGAAATAGTTTGTCTAAATATAAGTTTGACCTTTTCATTTCCTTTCTTTTATAAAAATAACAAATTTAAATCCTTTAAATAAAAGAATTTCATTTTTAGTCCTTAAAACAATTTCTTGACACTTTTGCATCATAAATTTGTTGCAATGGTAGTTTTTAACCCAAAATTTATTTTGTTAACAGATTCAACCCTTTTAAAATGGTATTTCTCGGTAAAAACCCTATTTTTCGCAACTTTTACAGTTTTGGCCCAAAATCAAAAAAAGTTTACATTTTTGATCCTTTTTGGAATTGAAAAGCATTTTGACCTTTGAAATAGTTTTATTACACTTCTTATCCCCTGTTTTGCAGAAATTTTCATTTCAGCCCCTTTAAACTTTATTTTTCGCAATTATGGGCTTATTGGGCCAAAAGCCCAAATTTAGCCCATTAAGCTAAAAATTTGCATTTCAAGTCCTTTGAAAATTCTAATATTCAGAAAAATGATTATAGAAACTGTTTTGACCCTTTTGACCCTCAAGAAACCGTGACTTGACAATTTTTAGCCCAAGTTTTGTATTTTTGACAATTTAAGCCCTAAAATGGGTTTTATGTTAGAATTGATGGGTTTTGAGCATTCTAACACTTCCTAAGTGTACATGCAACCCTAATAACCTTGGATCTATGTTTGTCTATTTGTCATGCAAAATTGAATTCCAAGGTTATATTCCTATCTAGCATACATGAGGAACAACTTTAACATAAAGTGTAGATAGAATAACTTACCTTGTTGTTGTTTGTGTTCCTTGAAACCTTGTGAGCCTAGCACCCCAAGTGTGATGCCTCAAATGCTTCACACAACACCAAATGCTCTTGGAAGAACTTATGAGAGAATACTCACTTCTTCAAAATTGGCCAAGCCCTCTTGATTCTTAGTGTAGCCGATTTTGGGTGGAGAATATGTTACTTATATAGTGTTGACACATCTAGGGTTAAACCCTAATATGTCATGACTCTTCATTTCCATGACCCATGGGTTTGTAACTCCCATGGAGCATCCATGGAGCATCCTATGGGTGGAACCCAACTTGATGGTCCATGGAGCCATTTAGCCCACTATACAAGATATGGATGATTTACTTAATCAACCCATATATTTAATTAGTTATCTTTTGATCACTTAATTAATTCTAAATTAATTCTTGATCAAACTAATCAAATAATATTATTAATATATTAGAACTTATAATATATTAATAATCTCCAAGTGTTATTTCTCTCATTTAGTCTATCCAATTGCATGGTGCCATGCAACCCAAATGGACCATGCCGGGTCGGGTCAAGTACATACCAGAAATAGTTATGGACTTAGACACCTTATCCAACAGTCTCCCACTTGGATAAGTCTAATAACTATTACTGCAAGTATGACTTCAGGAACCGATCGGCAATCGTAGCTCTTTACAAGGTTTCTCGAAACTGAGAAGATGATGGTACGCCATTTAAGATAAGTGATCATATAATCCTCTGTTCTAGATATCAGTCGGACAAATACATGGAACAATGTCTTACTTATTGTCCAACATTTGTTTCCCGATTTCCGATTTGTTTGACAAAGAACTTATTGAACACATCAATTTAGTTCTGACCGGGCCCGGTACATAGGTCAAAACAAAATCATCGAGGGGCCCAGATATCAGCTTCTAATCCAAGAAGGAACAGATAAACTTCGACTCATATGTTTGTTCTACTACTCATTGAATTACACATAAGAGCGCGATTTTATAACATCGAGTTACCAATGCGTTTTTCGTACAATCAATGCATAACCAACTTGTAAGTAACAAATCATATCTCTAGGTTTAAAGACTTATATGATATTACCGTCTCACGATCACTCGAGATAGAATTCCATGAAGTGATTCCAGTGAGCGTGGGTTGAGTCCAATGCTCAGAACTTATGAGCACTCATGATTGTTGTAGCCTTGTCCCAGACCTCTACAACCAAACATGACAGTCTTGATTCATACCTACTTCCGACATATGACCGACTGTGGAGGTTTGAATAATATGTTATACCAAACAAAATTATTCTGGAAGTCAAAACATGCAAAAGAAATATAGTAAACGATCGACAAGAGATAGCAACACTTTACTCATAAATAAAACACTTTTATTCATCATCAAATGTCAATTACACTTTACAAATTTCGAGGTTATCTAACTACTAAATCTAATATCATCCTTCAGCCCTATGCTCCGAGCATGCTGGAGATGCTTAACCCGAGTCAGTCCCTTCGTGAGGGGATCTGCCGGATTCTCATCTGATGATACCCTCTTTGCCACGAGGAGTCCTTCTTCGATCCGATGTCTGATGAAATGGTATTTTCTGTCGATGTGTCTGGATCTCCCGTGATCCCTTGGTTCCTTGGCTAAGGCAACACACTTTCACTATCACAGAAAATTTCCATTGGCTCTTTAATAGCTGGTACAACTCCAAGGTCTCCAATGAAGTTCCTCAGCCATAACGCCTCCTTTGCCGCTTCGCTAGCTGCAATATACTCTGATTCACAAGTAGAATCTGCCACTGTCTCTTGCTTGGAACTCTTCCAAGAAATTGCTCCTCCATTTAGGGTAAAGACCCAGCCCGACTGAGAGCGGAAGTTATCCCTATCAGTCTGGAAGCTAGCATCACTATACCCTA